CGCCGGGCGCGTGTGCGTGCGTGCCCAAGATACCGAGAGGAGAATGGAGGAGAAGGGATTGCAGCGTGACCATCCCCCCTGGGGGGTGATTTCTCGCTTTCTGTCTCTATGTTTCTATCTGTCTGTCTGGTGAGCGCACGTGCCCTATAGCGAAAACCTCAAAAAAGAAAGAAAGAAAGAAAGAAAATGGACTGTTCTGGCCTCTAATATAAAGCAACTGGAATCTGGAGGAATGGGCCCAGGCCTGACACCATCCTCCCACCCCAGACGGCATGAATATTTGCATTCGTAATTCTTAGGGTGTTTGCAAACTATGACATTGTACTTCAAAACAAAACCTTGCCGCCTCTGCTGTCACGCAGCGTTGACCTTTCTTTCTGGTAAGGCTTTGTCATGTTATTAAAGGAAAAACTGTGTTTTTTGTTTTGTTTAATTTTTAAACAAGTCTTGGTACAAAGGATAGAAGCGAAGTGTCTGAGGAGCTCAGAGTGGTTTATTTACAGCGCCTACCGAGAGCTCGTCTCAGATCAAGTCCTGCTCCTAGTTCTCGGTCCCAGAGTATTGTTTTGTTAGGGCCATTCATTTGCTTCTTCCCTCTTCATTCACTACTCGGTTGAGTTGAGTATTTTTTTCTCTTTATTTGTATCTCATATTTTTCTTTCTTTCTCTCTCTTTTTTTTTTTAATTGAAAAATTTTGCTATAGGGACCAGTAGGTGGCATGGTGATTAAGGCGCTGGATATTCCCACACGGCTGACCGTGGTTCCAATCCTGGACCAGGTGGTTAGCTTTCTCACTTTCCCTCTCTCTCTCTCTCTGTCTCTCTGGTTAAATTAAAATAAGTGAATGAATAAATAAAATTAAAATAAATAATTCTTTAAAAAAGTTTTTGCTATAGAGAGTACATGTTCACCAGAGAAAGAGAGAGAATGAGAAAGCACCCTCCCAGGGGGACAGCCACCCTCTGATTCCTTCTCCTCCATTTTTTTAGGATTTTGGACACGCATTCACATGCACCTGGGGTGTTTTTCAAGCCTCTGGGTCTGGGACTTGAACCATGCAGTCAACCAATGCAAACCAGTGCCTTAACCTCCTCCATACCATTGGTTGTCCCCCCACCCCAGTTTTCTGTTTCTTTTTTTCTGCCTGTTTGCCTGTCATATTCTCTTGTTTTTATTTGTTTATTTTCTTTGTTATTATTTAAAAAAAAAATGCACAGGCCCATTTTTATTACCTGTACACAGGCCTATTCCTCAGCCTGGTGGGGCTTCCCACCCTCAGGACCACGAGGCTTGACTCATGTCTATTCATAATTTGCTTCTTTAGTTATTGAACCCCCAAACCCCAACCCGTAAAGATGTACTTTCCCCTCCTTATTCAGATTCCAAGGAGATCGATCGCAGAAGAGCAAGAATCAAACACAGCGAAGGGGGAGACGTCCCTCCGAAGTACTTTGTGGTCACCAACAACCAGCTTCTGCGAGTGAAATACCTGCTGGTGTATTCCCAGAAGCAGCCCAAGAGGTAGGGTGGCCCCCGTGAGGTCGGGGAAGAGCTGAGGGCTGCGTCCGTAGTGTTGGGTTTCTTGTTACCAACCCCCTTGGCCTTTGGCCCTAGACCTGTGTAGGAGGATGTGAAACGTCATGGCGTCCACAGCAGAGGTGAGGAATATGGGTCAGAGAAGAAGCGGTCTAGACCCTAAGGGCATAAAGATTCATAACCACAAATGGCACAGGGACTGGATGAAGTCACCTGGGCTGTCCTAAACCGGGCAACCCTCAGCCACTAGGCCTGTGGCTATGGCCTGAAACCCACCGGGGAGGAGGGTGAGCTGAGGAACAGGGCAGTGGCTGGACACGGGCTGGGGCTGTGTCAGTCCCTCTCCACAATGGCTTTTGAACCACCGCCTGCCCCTCTCTGGACCTGAGGTGCTTCGTCTTCCCCTCTAAAACGAGAGTGTTGAGCCCAACAGGAGCCATGGTGGGTGGCTAGGCCGATGTCAGCAGTGTGGTAATGGAGGATGTGCAGGGCTCCCAGGGGATGGGGGTCACTTTGAGATCTTGTTGCATTGTTGGGGTCCATAGTAGAGTTTGTGGGGATCAGCAACAGGTAAGCAAGTGTGACAGGAGAAGGCATTTATTACTTTATTTTATAAAAAGGTTTTTGCTGGGACCAGCAGATGGCATAATGGCTATGTCTCTGGGCTCCCATGTAGTTGACCATGGTTTGAGTCCCGGACCTGGTGGCTTAAACTCACGCTGGGTGTGTGTGCGTGCGTGCCCAAGATCCCGAGAGGAGAATGGAGGAGAAGGGATTGCAGCGTGGCCATCCCCCCTGGGAGGTGATTTCTTGCTTTCTGTCTCTCTGTCTCTCTCTATCATTCTGGCAAGTGCACATGCCCTATAGCTAAAAAAACCTCTCAAAAAAAAAAATAAATAAATAAAAGGTTTTTACCATAGGGCAGGTGAGCTCACCAGAGAGACAGATCGACAATCAGAGGGAAAGTGAGAAATCACCTCCCAGGAGGGATGGCCACACCACAATCACTTCTTCCCCACTCCCTTCTTAGGATTTTGGGCACATGTGTACATGCACACGGTGTGATTTTTAAGACACCAGGTCTGAGACTCACTGTGATTGGGCTGGGGTTGTGTCAGTCACCCTCCACAGTGGCTTTTGAACCACTATCTGCCCCTCTCTGGACCTGAGGTGCTTCATCATCCCCTCTAAACCTTCATGTAAAAGTCCAGTGCCTTTATCATCACGCCACCCGCTGGCCCCAAAAGGCATGGCTTTTAGTAGTCCCCACTCTTGCTTGTTTTTTTTTTTGGAGAGGTTTTCGCTATAGGGCGCGTGCGCTCGCCAGACAGACAGAGAGAGACATAGAGACAGAAAGCGAGAAATCACCCCCAGGGGGGATGGTCACGCCGCAATCCCTTCTCCTCCATTCTCCTCTCAGGATCTTGGGCACACACGCACACGCGCCCGGCGTGAGTTTTAAGCCACCGGGTCCGGGACGCGAACCACGGTCGACTATGTGGGAGTCCAGCGACATAGCCATTACGCTAACTGCTGGTTCCTTTGCTTGGAGTTTCCATGCCTCTGGGTTTCATAAACCAGCCAAATCTGCTCACCCACACCTGAATGTGGGAACTCCATGTAGGGTTCCTGAGTCTGGGAGATGTTACCCTTTTGTTTAAAAATCATCTGACTTTTTCTATTTGAAAGTCGCATTCCTTTCCCACTTCTCCCTGGGGCATCTCTTCAGCGCACACTTCGATGGTTTAGATCATCCGCCAGTGGGCCAGAGAGGATTTCCCCGGCTCAGATTTATGTCTGTAGTTTCCCGAAAGTGAAAAGACTTCTAAATAGCCCGCCACCTGCCACCATCTGGACAGACACCCTGAGCTAGGTCATTCTTCTAGATTCCAGGGTCTCGCTGAAGAAAAGACGGGTTATAAAAGGTGAAAGAGGAACTGGAACAGGGATGAAGAGGATGAGCTCACTGCATGGCTGTCTCTGTGCATTTAGGAAATGCTCTGTTGAAAGGTGTGTTGGTGCCAGGGCAGCCACCCCAGATTTCTCGAGCAAAAGAGCACGAAGCTCCAGTTCGTGGCTCACGCAGAGGATGGAATTCATCATGCAGTCTTTCTTGAGCCAGAACTTGTTGCATATGCTTGAAAAAAATGTTTTTCTCTTTTTGCCAATATCATTCTCCCCCTCCTTAAGCAGGGCTTCAAGCCAGCTCTCCTGGTTTTCCAGCCATTGGTTCACGGTCATGATCTGTCTGTATCTGCTGCTGCTGTTCGTGGTGAGCGTCCTCAGCTCCCCTGCTTTCCAGCACTTCTGGAACCGAGCAAAGAGATGATCTTCTGGACCTGGTATGGGGCCACTGAGTCCACGTGCCTTGGGAGAACTCGTTCGGTACCTCCTGGGCCTCAGATCCAGCCAGGTGGAGCCTGGGGCCGGTTGGGGACCCCAGGACAGCTTTTGTATGCCATAAATGTCTCGATTGCCTTTGATGATGCTCCCAGCCACACTCTGGTCAGCAGGGTCCCTCACTGTCAACTTTTGGGGGAGCCCTCCCATCTGCTCCTTCAAGAGTCCTAGGGAGTTGGCTTGTCAACCAGGACCAGAGGAAAAAGTCCTGCTACCTTTAAAAACAAAGTGTCCAAGCTGTCAGTGGTGTGTTTACCATCGTTGCTGGCTAAGGCTGGCCCTTTCTCGCATGCCTTCTGGAAGGCGGAAACCGTGTAGTGGGGACTATAAATCACTAGGCGGTTGCCTTGTTTTGACTCGAGACACCCAAGAGGAATAGTCATGTTTCTCATAAAAATCAGTGGGATCGTTTTGAATTCCACCAGCCTTTGTACGTGAGCGTAAAACATTTCAGTCGTTTTCGCAAATCAACAAACGGTCTCCCGCTACAGCCGAACCCCCCTCTTCCCCACACCAGGGATGAGGAAGGAAGGAGTCAGAGGCCTGATAAAAATACAGATTTAACGAGCGACTCAAGTTGTCTTTTTCTAAAAATGACCAACTGCTGATTACAGCCGAAATGGAACCACATGTTTGTTTTCTGATTTAAAAAAAAAAAAAAAATTGGTTTGACAAATCAGTGTTTGTGAGCTGAGTAAAAGGGGAAATTTCTAAACCTAGAGCCATTTGGCCACTGTCCACAGCCTCTCTCCTGGCTGTGTTTTCGAGACAGGGATCTGGGTTGTAGGCTCATCTCCTGTTCTCACTCTCACGAAGCTGCCTTGACCATGGCTTGCTAGCCACCAGTGGAGGAAGGAAGGAGTCAGAGGCCTGATAAAAATACAGATTTAACGAGCGACTCAAGTTGTCTTTTTCTAAAAATGACCAACTGCTGATTACAGCCGAAATGGAACCACATGTTTGTTTTCTGATTTAAAAAAAAAAAAAAATTGGTTTGACAAATCAGTGTTTGTGAGCTGAGTAAAAGGGGAAATTTCTAAACCTAGAGCCATTTGGCCACTGTCCACAGCCTCTCTCCTGGCTGTGTTTTCGAGACAGGGATCTGGGTTGTAGGCTCATCTCCTGTTCTCACTCTCACGAAGCTGCCTTGACCATGGCTTGCTAGCCACCAGTGCCATGCTGCAGGCCTCCTGTGGGCTGCCAAGCCTTGGAGACAGATGCCTCCTCCGTCGCCGCAGGTCTGCATGGATCGAGCCTCCTTCAGAGGGCTTGCAGGTCTTTGGGACTCAGCCTGCACTGTAAAGCGTAGGAGCCTTCGGCCCCTTGAGAGCCACAGCCTGACATGCTGTCTTCTCTGCCCCCTCCTTCCTGCTGGGTTTCAGCCGGAATGCAGCCCTGTCTGATTTGGAGGTGAGATTTTCATAAAAAGGGGGAAAAAAAGTCATTTTTCTACAATCTGTAAAGTTGTGAAAAAGCCATTATCATGGTTTCTACATCGAAGATTGGAACATTTCAAAAATAATAAAGGTATTTTCCTAATGACCAAGTTGCCTTTGTAAACACTTTTGCCTCATTGAGTTTGCTGTGTATGCCCTGTTAAAAATCTTCTCCACAGGGGCAAGCAGGTAGCATGGTGGTTAAGGCATTGGACTCCTGCATGGCCAAATGCAGTTTGATTCCTGGACCCAGTGACCTGAAACTCATGCTGGGTGCATGTGTGTGTTTGCATGCCCCAAATCCCAGGAGAATGGAGGAGATTGTGGCATGGCCATCCCCCTGGGGGGTGGTTTCTTACTTCCTCTTTCTCTGTCTCTCCTATGAGTGCATGTAACCCATGGTGCAAACCTTAAAAAAAAAACCTTATCCCCTCTTGGCCCAATCCAGGTGGCGCTGTCCATAGCAGACTGGACTGCAGTGCTGGAAGCCACATGGCTGAGCACAGGTTTGGATCCTTGGGTTGACCTGAAAATATGCTGGGCACGTATGTGGGTGCCCAGGATTCTGAGGAGCTGGAGGACTAGGGAAAGGGGACTGTGGCATGACGAGACCCCACTGAGGGTGCTTTCTCTGTTTGTCTCTCTTGCACATTCACATGCTTTCTGTCATAAAAACATTAATAAATAGATAAAAATTTAAAGAAAGGAAGAAAGGAGTTTGGGGAAATCCTTGACAAGGAGTCCTACCATGGTACCATGGTTCAGGATCAGGAAGTACAGAGGTGACACATGGACCGTAAGGCGTCTGACATGTCCTGATTTCTTTGACTTTCACAACAGGTCTTCCCGTTTTAGCAGGTATGGCACTGAAGTGCAGACAACTAGTAGCTTGCCCAAGGCTTGTGTGGCTAGGATGGGGCAGATCTGGGAGTTGGACCTGGCAGGCTGGTTTCAGTGTCAGTCTCATAACCAGCACTGTGCTCCTCCAGTCCTCCTAAAAATGTGACTTTTAACTGACACCTGAAAGAGAATTTGGTTTTGGGTAAGAGTTGGAAGAAAAGTTATTTTAGGCAGTGGGAACTGCACATCAAAGGCTTAGAATTCTTGGAGAAGCTAGAAGCAGGAGAATTGTAAGGAGGAGGTGGTGGTGAGAAATCGGGTTGGAAAGATGAGTAGGAGCCAGATCTTGAAAGAGCTTAAAAGCTGCAGGCAGCCCAGCTGTGGTAGTGCTGGCTGGATGCTGCTGCTTCGAAGGCCAAGGCTGTGTAGGAGGCCCATGTTCGAATCCCAGCTCACTCTAGGAGGCAGGTATGGGATGGTGCCGGCCTATTTAAACACCACACACAGCACATGCATATATAAGGCTGTGGGCAGGGGAAGGCCATTAGAAAGGTCACTTGTTTTGGGCTAGCCCACGGTGTAGTGGTTAGGGCTGCTGGATCGCACATGGCCAACCATGTGGTCCGAGTCCTACAAGGTTAAGGGAAGAGAAATGGAAGAGAAAGGATTACAGTGTGACCTTGTCCCATGGTGGGGGGTATGTCTTTCCCTGTCTCTCTCCTGCCACCTCTGGCAAAATTAGGGTAAGTTCTTAGTTTTTGTTTTTGTTTTATTTTGTTTTTGCTTTTCTTTTGTTTTTTGAAAAGTCCTTGGTTTTAGGAAGGAAATGGTGAGGTATAATTTTCAGACAAAGCACGCTGGCTCTTGGTTGGGGAATGGATTTAAGATAAATAGAACAGGGACCAGCAGTTAGCGTAATGGCTATGTCGCTGGATTCCCATATAGTCAACCGCAGTTCGCATCCCAGACCTGGTGGCTTAAAACTCACACCGGGTGCATGTGTGTGTGTGCCCAAGATCCCGAGAGGAGAATGGAGAAGGAATTGCAGCGTGGCCATCCCCCCTGGGGGGTGATTTCTCGCTTTCTGTCTCTCTGTGTCTCTGTCTGTCTGGCGAGCGCACTCGCCCTATAGCAAAAACCTCTTAAAAAAAAAAAGAATAAAAAAAAAAAGATAAATAGAACAGACATTTCTTTTTCTTATCTTTTTTTTTTTTTTTTTTTGGGGGGTTTTCTCTTTAGGGTGG